GACTCAAACACAGCCATCAAAGAGAGAGGCATGCAATAGATTGTATTTAAGAGTATAATCTTTTAATGCTTCTGCCATTAAGACTTGAAAGTTAATGATGTCTAATGCTTCTGTCTGCTGAGGTGCAGGGACTGCAGTAGAAGGAGGGCGGCTTATTGCTGCAGACCTCTTCCCTTACAGCTTCGAGGCTTCCAGTTCCCTGCTTGGGAATTTACTAACTAGTTTATAAAGTAACTGAAACAATGCAGATCAGGGACAAATTCTTCATGTTGCTTCCTTATTTGAAGTCCTCTTTTTATTATATTAAATAATGATTAGCTGAAGACATCAAAACTTGGTTTTGTCATCTTACAAAAACAGTTTAAAACTACTTTTTAATAAGCATTTATAATCCTCCAAGCTTCTTCAGCCTAATTCTCCTTGACAACACAGTGGCTAGTCTCCAAGATTATATTTGTTCTTTTGTCTGTTTGAAGAAGAGCTGTCAGGAACAGCATGTCAGACAATGATGCTTCTCCTTATTTCAGTGATACTCTCTGGCAGAGAGGTACTTGAAGAGCATGAGATATGAAGGTCCAACTCCTCCCTTGTGCTGAGCTATGAGAACCCAATTTTGGGTTTTCAGTTCTCTCTACAGAGAGAGCGTCTGGGCGTTATGTGAAGGAGTTGAGGGTGGGTGGGAGGGAGGAAACATGGCAAGGATGGCAGAGAATATTTTTATCTACCCTCCCTGCAAGTTTCTGGCTGATGTTCTCCTTCAGAGCAGAAAAGAACCTCTCCCTGTTCCTGCTTACCTCCTCCAGACGAAGGTCCATCCAGTGGGCAGGGCTCGGGAGCAGCTGAAGCTCAGTCGCTATGGAACTTGTTGTGCATCTTCAGCATAGTTGAGCCCTCCCTCCGAAGCTGCAAGCTTGGCAGTTACTGTCATAGCTTCAGTAGCTATCTCCCTTTTTGAGTAAAGGTGGGAAGGTTTTATTATCATTTATACCATATTTGTCTGGATTATGCAGTGTGCCTGTTCCTTTCACCCTTCCTACCTCCTTACTACCTTTTAATCTAGGTCATGTTTTGTCTTATACCAGAAAATCTATTTTATCAGCTATAGCAAGGAAGTGCTGTGGTCATGGACAGAAATACAATTATTAAAGGGCAGATACTTATTGTGAATATTTCTTCCTTAGAATATTCCTGCACATATAAAATTATAGAATAATTTGGGTTGGAAGGGGCCTCTAAAGTCATCCAGTCCAACCTCCCTGTAATGAGCAGAGGGACATCTTCAACTACACCAGGTTACTGAGAGCCCTATCCAACCTGACCTTGAATGCTTCCAGGGGCATCTACCACCTTTCCAGGCAACATATCCCAGTGTTTCACCACCCTCACCGTACAAAATTTCTTCCTTATATCTGGTATAAATCTATCCTCTTTTAGTTTAAAACTTGCCCCTTGTCCTACCACAACAGGCCCTGCTAAAAAACTTGTCCCCACCTTTCCCATAGGCCCCCTTTAGGTACTAGAAGGCTGCTCTAAGGTCTCACCAGAGCCTTCTCTTCAACAACTCCAACTCTCTCAGCCTGTCGCATCGAAGAGGTGCTCCAGCCCTTTATCATTGTGGCCCTCCTCTGGATGTGCTCCATATCAAGAAGCGTGACACATTCCCTTACCCCAGGTACCTTTTGGAATAGTTTCTGATATTTGGAATAGGAGCAAACCAGATCACTGCAGCTGTGCTCAAGCCTAGACTTTCAAAATAACCAACGGGAAAAGGAAAAAATAAGTAGTATAAATAACAAATTATTACATGTTTGGTGCTTTTGTGATATGCTACTTGAGGGAATATAGCATCCCTTTTGAAAATGAACATTTTGTTATTTTTTCTGGTTATTTATGAGTTCCTTACTGCTGTGCAAAACACTTCGCTTCCCTTATCATTGAGTATGTTCAGGACTTACAAAGAACTAAATAAATGTCTTGTTATCTGCATTGTTAAAGCTACAGAAACATCTGCAGATTCAGGGGCACCACTGAAGACACGTACAAGGACAAAGATGTCTGAAAGCTGATTGCTTTCAGGTATTTATTCTCGCAATTCTTGTTGCAACAGCATACAGGTTGCAAAGCATAACAGCTCTGCAGGTGGGCACCTCATCAGAGAGTAATTACTCCTCACTCCACAACAGCTTTGGGTGAGAGATTTGGACTTAATTGCAAATTGAAAAGGAAAGCTGCATGGTATGTACTTGAGCACCACTTTGATCCGTAGGCATCATAAGAAAGTCATCAACTGTTGATATCCAGCAGCAAAGAGATCCGTGTTGTTTCCTGCATCACTAACCTTCTGCTCCTGAAAGCATCAAATGGGTTCAACCAAAACTAAACAAAAGCAGAGCAAGTAATCTCTTCCAAATGTGATACCCGGCAACACAAACAGTCATCGAAACATCCCAAACCAGTCATCACCTATAGTGGCAACTTGATCTTTCAAACTTTGCTAACAGATTATGACATTATCTCCCTCCCCTCAGCTTTTGACCCCTTACTTCCCAAGATTAGTATTTTTTCAGGGTTTCAAAATGCTTTTGATGGCCCGAATCTAGCCCATACCTCTGACATCAAACGTATTTGCCGACTATATGCACACAATGTGTGTGTATGACTTCAGGCAGCTCTTGGGTATGAGGTTAGTTTGGGGATATTGTACACCCTGCTGATTATCAAGAGCAATTTCCAAAGAGGGGAGATGCAAGGAGGGGGAGGATGAGGGGAGACTTTAAAAAGCTGTCTGCCCCTGTGATTTTCAGCTCTTTGAAAAAGCAGGAAAGAATAGAAAAGCACCCCTGATGTGTGGTTAACTACAAAGGAACTATTCTTACCAGGTTCCTTCAGTAAAATGAAGGGTGCTTTGACTGCATTTTTTGGCCTTGCTAATCTGACAGACATTGATGGATAATTTGGAACAGCCAAAATCTTTGCTCCAAAAGCACTGACTCATACATGTTACATCCAGATGTTTCACTTGGTTCTTAACAGGTATCAAAGCTTTCTTTAAATACTTCAAAATTGTATTTTATATGTTCAAGAATGTATGCATGCAGGGGAGGGAAAAGATAAGAGAGGAACTCCATAAAAGCAGCTTAAAAAGAATTACTTATGCCCTCCAACACGGACACTTTAAATACTCCACCCATCCCCCTACCCCCAAAACAACTTGTTTCTGCCTAATCAAGTTAGAAAATTAATAGCACCATGATTCTTAATAAGCAATTAGGGCATTGAAGTCTACAGGTAGAGGAGCTTGTATGTGTCAACACTGCTATGCTGACTGCCCTCACCCCTGCCTCACAGGAGCAGCCCAACCTGCTGGACCCAGCCAGTCCCCCACTGGTTGCCCAAGAAGGGATCTCCCCAGGAGTTTAACAGCTGGCCCATCATCTCTTCCAGAGGAAAAGGGCTCCAAAAATCCTCCCCTGGGATTCAAGAAAGGAAGAAATCTTTCATCTGAGAGCACACGGGGGAGGCACCCCTATGCCATAAGCAGTAGATCATGAACGAAAGTGAGCAATGCATGCACCATGGCTCTTGGCAGTGCTCTTCTCCCCAGCAGTGCCTAAGCCACTACCATCAGAGAGTAGCTGAACAGGCACATGACTCTGAAAATATAGAGCCAACTCACGTGGGAAGTAAAGACAAGCAGAGAAATCAGACACAGAAGAAGAAGAACAGAAGGCAGCAGGTTTCATCAGGATTTGGGAAATGCAGTGCTGTGCAACTTGCAGAATTTCTGAGTTATTCAAAACAGTTGCCTCAGCCTCATTCTCACCAGCCAGCTCCTGATGGAGGGAGCTTTATGTACTGGCTATTCTGCTTTGCAGTCACTGCAGGATAAACTCAGTAAGGCAGGTATTCATCCCTTTTTAAGGTAAATAAGCAATCAGTAAATACACCATTTCATCCCAAGATGAGCAGTATTCTTCAAATCGGTAAGCCTTCTAGTAGGGAACCCTCCCAGTAGAAAACCAACCAAGCAGACACATTGCAATGCATACAAAATGTGACAAGTATCAAGCCTAGCCAGAATTTCCAATCTGCCAGGAGTCAAAGCTGAAGACCTGCTGTTGAAGTGCTGCTTTTCCTTCTCCAGCAGGTCAGTGTAATCAGTCAGACAGAAGCAGGTATGAGATATTGCAACAGTTAAGTTATCACCTGAGCAAATAGGACCAGGCCATTCCCTTGTGCCTGTTGACAATATTGTGAAGAGCTTGTTAAACATTAAAGCTGGGAAACTTCCAAAGACAGTTTTAGACAGTTCACTGGTGAGAAAGCTACTCAGCCAAAATACTGACTGCTCTTCTAGATTAGACTAGTGTAATCTGGAAACAAAAAAAGGCATTAGCATCAGTAGTGCTAGCCTTACTATGGCTGGCAGTGGCCCAAAGCATATCTGATGGTTATTCATCAACTAAGGGTATAAAGAGTCCCAGCCTCACTCTCAGCACAAAGGCAGACACAGGAACAGCAGTCGCTGGGATCTCAACACACAAGAGTCCATACGGCAACTTCAATTCCCCTTTTAATCTCAGAGACTTTTTCCACATTACATAGAACATGATAATGCAGCTTCACAGGACTTATTTTCTTCCACTGCTTTTGGAATCCAAATACAGCACAAGCCTCCTTCCTGCACCATGGATTCCCACCCCTCAAAAGTTTCATGCTATGCCAAAGAAGAGCTAGAAACAATCTATCCTCAGCACCCATGCAGAGCAGAGCAGTCTTTCCTCCTGACACTGGGCTCAGGTGAGAATGCAAGAACCAGGAGCATTTCCATTAACCATGAGAAGTGCAGCAGAGGGACAGAGGTTCCTCTGGACTGATCAGCCAGCAGAACTGAAGTTCTCTGGAGTTGTCTGGAGAAGTTTCAGTCATTTACATAAAGGCAAAGACAACAGCTGTGCTTGTAAAGACAGATGCCAAAAAAAAGGAACGACTAGAAAACATACTCTTTAAAAGACCTTTATTTTGGCTTCATGGTTACAATTCTGAAGTCCATTTATGCTTACAGTTAGATTGCTCCCAAATAATATTTTATATCTCACCATGTAAACAGTGCATTTGCTATCAGTCTGGTGCACAAGAACTTTATAAAATACAGATTAAGTAACTTTTTCTTCTGTACACTTTTCAGATTAGTTCATCAAGATCACTTAAAAAGGCAAATAGATTAATTGGCAAAAAAGTTTTGTTACATTTTTTAATATATTAGTACAAAATGTCACAAAAGGAAAAAGGTCATTTCAAAGGCTATACACATCAAATGTCTTAAACAGTTTGATTCAGTTCAATTGATTTCAACTTCATTTCAAATACCACTCTTGAACTTGTAATTGAACTTGTAATCTTCTTTTCTTCAGCTGTATGAAAGACCTCACATAGTACTTTGGATCTGTTCACAGAAACCGAATCACAGCAGTTTCAGAACAGTGACATTCAAGTGCAGTTAGGAAGTTGGGAACTTCTGTTCTTCCCAGTAAGCCTAAGAATTCACAGAGCTTATTTTCATGTAGCCAAGCTCATTGATGCACACTTCAGATGCAAAGATACCAAACGTGTGCACATAAAACACAGTATTTCTTAATGCAAGAACTGAAACAAAAAATCCACATAATTACATCATCTACCCTACCTACCTTTGCAGGAGGCTTCCAGGCATAAACATGCTCAATGCCAGGTACAGAGATAAATGAAGCATCTAAAAGATTTCAGGCAAACTGAATGCTTAATTCAAAGGCTTCAGTTATAAAACAAGTATCACACCAACTTCAGCAACCTGTATCTTATTTTTGAATGACCCATATCAAATGGGCAGATGAGTGGGATGAAAAGTGAGCTAGAAAGAAACTTCTAACTTAAAAATAAATTCTGAGATGTGAATTCGTTGCCTCAAGCAACAGTTCTGGAGTTTGTTTTGGCAGCAACATTTAGCAATATCCCAAAAGATAATTGCCTGACCCATCAAAGCAAAGTATCAGGATTTTGATTAGCCCCCTAAACCTTAAGAGGCTTTTACATTTAAGTTAATAGAACAGTTTATGACTTTTTTTTTTCTGGTAAGACAGCACCCACGTCCAAGAGGGCAGGCAGTTATACTGATGGTAGTACTGAGAATGTTACTCCTCCGGTTAAAACAAAAACTCATAAAAAAAGTAAGCATGATGAAGTACAGGACTATTATTTTATTCAGCTTCATGGTGAACAAACCATGACTAGGAATTTCCTTTCATAATTTAAATACCAATTACAACACTTTCTCCAGAAGCTTATCTTGTAGTGAACCACAGGATGATTCCGAGAAGCAATACTCCAACAGCAAGTACAATGATGAGGATGCACATCTTCTTTCGGGATCTTTGCTGCCAATAGAGCAAAAAAACCCAACAGGTCCAAGTTGATTGAAAACTGCACCACCACATCAGAAGACTATTCAAATGCTTTTAAGCTCCTACTGCTCGTGCGACTTAACTAAATTGTGTCCTTACTAACGAGTCATATAAAGCTGCTCAAGAAAAGAAGAGCAAAGTTATCCACAACTTACTTTTATGGCTGTATCATTCAGGAGAATGATTTCAGTGATATTTTCTGGCATATATCATAAACTAATGAAAGAGAATGTAAGTAACATAAGAAATGGATATAACTAGAACACTGATGGAAAGAAAAAAATGAGAGAGCAGGGGACCACATATAGAGGAAAACAGACAATCTGCACAGTAGAGGAGGCAGAAATGGTCTGTTAGAAAAAAAGAAAAGACTATTAATGTATATGCAGAAGGGGACAACAGACTGCAATTTTAGACTTGTGGAAGACTGGCTTTGCATCTACTGACAGGGTTATCTTAAAGTTGGTTTTGTCAAGTTTAAGTATAACATGCTCTTAAAAAAAAGCCAACACACACACACACACACACACACACACAAAAGGAAGAGAGAGAGAGAGAGAGAGAGAGAGAAACCTGACTGGAGACTCAGAATTTTCATATCTTCCATACAGGTCTGTAATTTGAGATATCAGAGCATCCAAGACTTACAGCAGTCTGTCATGATTTATCTAAAGGTTATGGAATCGAAAGGTTTCCTTCACAGCAGGAAAGGAATTACAAGTGGGTTTCACAAGCTTGTGCTGATAGCCAAGTGGTAACAATACTCGGATCTTGGGATTCCAGGCCACAGCTGCAGAAGCAAAGCAAGGCTTTGCTCTACTTGGCCGAGGTTCTTCTGCCTGGGTGTTTTTTCCTGAACTTTGTTAGTATCATGATAGGAGCCAACCACCATACTTAATGTGCCAGTTACTGCCACTTAGAATACAGTTCAAGGATGCATTCACTCCTTTCCCTCTCTCACTTCTGAAATCAGCAGGCAATCCTTCAGACATTTTGTCATTGATTTACTGTGCTGTACTAATATATTAGAGGATTAAACAAAATAAAAAAATAAAAAATTCCCAGGACTAACTCAGACTTAAGAGGGAAGATTTATTACTAATAAGATTATTTCTAACAAGTTTCAAAAATGTTCAACAGAAATGGCATTTAAGGGTATTTAAAAGGCTTTAAAAAAAATTGGAGATTTTGAAATAGGTTTTTAGCATCAGGGTAGCAATTAACAGAAGCTGGATATATACAGCTTTGAGAAGATTTTAGACAGCAAAAATCAGTGCTAATTGGCGGCATCTTCAGGGGAATTCCCTGACTATCTTCCCTAGTCCTCCAGTTATCTTCAGAGGCTTGCTCTCCATGTATAGGAACTTTTTACTTCTTGAACTGTAAAAGGAGAGGTTGGTTTGTTTGGGGGTTCTGTTTGTTTAGGTGGTTTTGATTTGTTTTTTAAACAAAGCTCCAGGTGCTCTGAAACAGCCTGGCTAATTTTAAAGTAAACCCACAGCTTTCAGAGGTCACTGTCTTTTGTTTTACAGTAACCCAGAAGTACCACGGTAGTCTAACATAATACCATGGTAGTCTAACATAAACCTTTAAGGAAGTCTCCAAGCCTTGAGGAAATTTAAACTGCAGAAGAAAGTGGAAGTCAAGACTACTGAGAAAGGACACACAACTGGCAGTCAACAGTGACATTACCTGGTAGTCTGCTGCTCTTGACAGCTGCTGGTTTGCTTGCTGCACATGTACATCTGCATTCTCCACATTGGCTTCTATGCTGTCTTTATTTTAAATGGGAAGAGTTAAAAATTTTGGTCAGTCATAACCTAGCCAAAGGTTTGGAATGCTGTAATACACTTCAGAGCATACATAATAGTTGCCCCCCAACTGCTTTGCCTTCTCTTCATCAGTACAAAGTTTTGTACCTTGATCTATGGAAGTTTGGTCCATGCTATACTGATGAGGTAGAAACTTTCAGTATTCCTACTTTTTCTTTTTAACACCCCCCCCATTTTTACTTGTCCTCCAACTTCCTACTGACTACCCTCTGCTCAGATTAAAAAAGTCCTAATGTGTATGAAATCAGAGGAAACGGACACACAGAACAGCCCAAGAGCCATGACTAATTTGGTATTCTATAATGCTGACGCAGATATTTTATTTTTTATTTTTCCCTGGAAAAATATGAACAGGTTATGGGCTAAAGTGATAGAAAAGATCTGAAAATGTATGCTGGACATAGACAACAAAATGGCTTAGCAGCAGACTCAGAAAATATATTTTCCAATCACATTTCTTTAAAAGAATAAACCTGCCTGCATCCGGGGCAAAGTAGGAACCTTTGCTGAATCTACACACTTCCATCGTTAGTTAATACAGTAAAATTGCCCACATGAACTCCTATTTTAGGTACAAACAGTACAAAAATCCGCTCTTAAGGACATTTTATACAGATGAAAAACTACATAATTATTTAAACAACATTTTAAACACACCTTCTTAGCATATTCCTGCTCACCTCAGTCTACCCATTATTAGGTTGTACCTGATTTGCTTTAGCATTGATATTTTCATTAGACGAAATTTTCCAGCAAAAGGAAGTTTTACACTGCTGCTTTCCAGAAAAACATAATAAAAAAATTTTCAGAGAATGTTTCAGTTGGACTTACCTATCACATCACCTTGCTCATGGATCATCATTCCTAGATCTTTAAAAATTTCATTGATGTCCATAATATCTGCCTGCATAGAAACAATCATTGCAGTAATTGACATAACATATTCTAATATCGCTGTACATTTAGATACAAATACAGCTCCTCCTCCTGAGTATATATCCATGACTTTCTACAGTAAAGGATAAAAAGAAGTTTACTTGGAAGTCTTTTGGTACTACGAGATCAGGTTTACCATAATCACACTACCTGAGGATAAGTATGCGCACAAAGTACACTTCACATCTAAAATGGGACCTCTCATTGCTGACGGCTTGGCTACACTTGTATTAGTTTAACTGAAGGGAAAGGCTCATGACAACTTTGCTTAAAAGCTACTCACTTAAAACTAATAAAGGCATGTGCAGAAAGTATTTTGTGTTAGTTTTAGTGCACCTATTGAACTAAACACAAATTTCATAAGCACCGCAATTCACAGAAATTATATGGCCAGGCTCTTGCACCTTTACTACACTATCCTATTACCATCTGGTTATAATGAATTGATAGATGCCAGGTTACCATCCATATGATCTCTTCTTAACTAATGACTGATAGACATTTAGTTCAATTTACTGCAAATTAACATATGGGTGGCAAGGAAGAGATTACTGAAAAAATTATAGATAGAATGGATTTTGTTACATGCATGAACAAGACTTCCTGACAAACTCTAATTCTAGCATCTTTCTTATTGATGGCAGAGATGTGTTTTTCCAGAATGGCTGGAAAAATTCATTTTGCCTTCAGAGAAGCCTCTTGCTGTCAATATTTCATCACATGTCAGGTTTTTTGTGTAGCTTACGTCTCATTTTTAAATGTTTTTTAACTTTTTCACAAGCCCTAAATAACAGAAGTTTGAATGAAACAGAGTATCTCTATATTTCCAGGAATGTTCCAAAAAGCTGCTTACAAAATTAAGATGTTGAACAATACATTGAGAATGCCTGAGAAGAAAGGTATAATTTTGCTACATTTATATTCACTGTTTAAAAAGGTTGTGTGATAGCACCACTATGGTGAAAAAAAAAATGATGTGGTTTTTTTGGGGTTTGTTTTTTTTTTGCAATCACATAAGCACTCCCTTATTCCACTGAACCACTGAAGTTAAACAGTATTGAAACACAGCTTTCATATAGAAGAGTTCTAATGCACATTTCACATCTAAAGGCAATTATTTGTAGTTTTGAAGGAAAAACACACATCCACAAATAAATACTAACTCCACAAGATTTATGTCTGTAATTAATGTTCATGCCACTTTAAGATGTTTTTTGCTCTGAAAACACTAAAAGCATATTCTGCTGTAAAAGGACTTGTACTTACTTCAAGCTGCCTAATGGAAGATTCCCTCTCCTGAATAAGACGGAGATCATCTTCTGTAATTTCTTCATCTTGCACTTGTGCCTGTGGTTGACTATCAAACAAAAAAATCCCCACCCAGAAGAGAACAGGCATGGTGAAAAACCACTCGGAAGAATAAAATGCCAGGTAAGTACATAGCACCTACTTTACATTATCGGTTAACAAAATGTACATTTTTACCCTTGCCTGTCTAGCTAACAAAGGAAAAAAAGGGTCTAAGTCACCCCTTTGGTACAGGAAGCTGCCGCTGCAGTAATGATGTACATAGCATTCAGCTAGCTATCTGGAAATTCCAAGTATAAATACAAAGGCAAAGTTCACATCCATGTGAGGCAAAAGGAAACTAGCCAACAAAAAAGAATCTGAGATTCAGAAGCAGTTCTCAGAGACTATGAAAGCAATGAGAGTTCCCAGTTAACACTGAACCCTTACCACAACAGTTTTGCTCTGTTTGCAGGGTGGACTCTGCTTACCTAAGCTTGGGTCTCAGAAAGCCCAAATACAGTCTTAGGGCATCTTAAGGAGATGACTAAAGCTGAAACATGGGGAGAAAAGGGGAGATGTGAACCATTCCTTTTCTTCCCACCTGTCCCACAGAAGTCTCTTCTCTACACTTGCCCTATGGAAGAAAGCCTAACTGAACAACCTATCCCAGCTCCCTCAAGAAAAAAGCAATTGATCAGAAGAATTAAAAAAATAAATTGGCAGCTGGCTCCTCTGAAAGCCATTTATTATTCTGAACTAGGTTAAGACTTATTAACAACTTCAGCCTACCTGTCCCAAGAGACAAGTGTTCGTTCCTTGTAGGTATCTTCAGGAGCACCACCCTACATGATCAGTGTTTAAAAGTATAAATAAAACATTATGGTCCTTAAAAAAGCACTGTCAGCATTTCTATAATGAGTCAATATTACAAGGTTTATATTAAGTCAACTTCTTACTGAAACATGATCTAACATGTTCTCATCCTGATTTTGCTATATAGCATATATAGCATTTGCATAAAGCTGAAATACAAGCAAAACCATTCAGCTCAGTAACTGCCTGCTGAAATTTACAAGTACAGCAATGCCTATTTGGCACAGAGTGAAAAGGCAAAATAGATATGCTAACAAGGAAAAGCTCAACATCTCAAGCTCCTCAGCATTTCTCCACTGTTACTGCACAGAAATCTGGCAAGTGATCTTTCCCTGCAGGAAAAACCTATTGATATTAAAAGGTCTAGCAAAAGCATTTTAAAATCTAATAAAACCTGCTTTCTCAAGATTATGGCGTGAACCTGGGGGCAGTTCATGCCTTTGTGTAACAAAGGCAAGGAAAAAATAACAATTATTGGGGAAGCTGGGGGTATTATTACAGCTTATTTCAGCCTTTATTGTAAAGTCACATACAGCACACATTTTGCTGTATTTGGAGTCAGATATGAACTTTTGTAAGCAGTGTTGTGGATGCCAGTTTAATGTAGAACACCAACACCACTGCGAACAGAGAACAATGGCACATTTTTTGATACTTACAGATACCCTTGAGCTGGCTCTTACTCTGGCTACAAAGTCTTTTTCTTTCTCAGCAGCTTGCCTTTGGAGTCTTTGGAAATTTGTTAGTGCTGTGGTGAACTCCCCAACAAGACGGTCTTTCTGTATTTTTCTTTGACGCTATAGGAGAAAAAGTTTTAACAAGTCAAATGAGCTCAGGCTTTTCAAGGCTCTGCATTTAAAGGCTGCTCAATGCTAAGCCATATATTCTTGTTCGTTTGCTTGGTTTTCTAAATAGGTGTAAGGGAAAGCTGTCTACAAAACCATTTGCACCTGCATGGACAAGCCTTTCCTCTGGGATGACAATTCAAGGCATTTAAAGAGGAAACCAATGTTTTTATTTTAACAGCTGGAAATGACCAATAGGCAGGAACAAGAAAGCTTCTACCTTCCTTATTATCTGCTGATTATAAAACCTACTCTTTACGTGTGAAACGTTTTGAACCTTTGGATGCTAAAATGTGCAAAGGTGACTGAATGGGGAGAAGGGTGCAGAAAAGAAAGAACACGGCGCTTCACATGTATTTTGCATAAATACTGGAAATACATATTGAGCTGCATCCAGAAGTGGGTTCATGTGCCCCCAAGGTGCTTAAGAACTGGTACAAAAATACCTGTTCTAATCTTTCGGGCTTTTCTATTATTATTATTATTTTCTAAGAATGTAGGGAAGGAAAGAGAAATACTGGGCACTGAGGAAAGCCTCCGCCATATTTCCCTAAAGACAAACATTACATCAACCCTTCCTTCCACATTTCTGAGAGGCTATAATTTGCCATTCAGCAATCTGTTATTCATGCATTTCATCAGGGGTAGCTTTGATGAAGATGCTCATGATAAAAGAAGTAAAATTAAGCAGTAAACATCTCATCACCAGTTTTCCAGCTCCAAGATAGAAAAACCATAAAACAAAGAAAAAAATTAACCAACCCAAACATGCTTTGCCTGCACTAGAGGTTATACACCAAGACCAAGTTTTAGCACCTCTGTTTGAAGGTTACAGTTTGACAGGATGGGCACACATGGATCATGGCCTGCCATTTGAATTCAGCATTTCAAGACAATTCGTTTTCCTAAAGGCTCCTTGCTAACCAGCCACTGACCAGGCAAGTTGTCTGAATGACAATAACCTGAACACATTTTCAGGGATGCTGTTGCTCTTCCCTTATTTAAGAGACAGATTTTGCAAGGATATGAAACCATACAGTGGCAGACAGGAGTATGATAACGACAACAGCCATGTTAACTCCTGACAAGATTTTACACAGACCTGGGCAAGAAGCCATTTAAAGACTTTACATGTTGTTTCAGCAACAACTCCTGCCCACCCCTCTTAAAAAAAGGAAAAGCCTGTGCACAAGACATAGCACATATGCTGACCAGAGTGACATACGTACTGTGCATAATCACGTTATTTGGACAGTGGGTGAACAGGACTGGCTGCCTGCCCTGATTCCTTGACCCTGGAAGCAGTCAGAGTGGTTGCAGAGCCAGCATCACTACAACAGATTACAAAGTGCCCAATTACCTGAAATCACAGGCACAATGACAGGCACAGGCACAGGCCTTGACTCCTACCATTTCAAGCAGACTACCTCATTCTTGATACACAAAAAAAAAACTTTGGAACAAGTACAGGCTGCAACAGTGTCCCTGTTGTGCAAATATGTCGACTAACTAAGCAGTGCTTTGAAAGCCTGGTGAGAAGCACAAAAACAGGCATGCAAAACTGAAGTCACTCAAATACTCTACATGAGCCAACATGACAGTCAATGCTCTTTGGTTTTATACCTGTTCACTTGTTGCAGGCAAAGATCCAAATTCTTTAATGTGTTTGTCAGTTTCTTTGGCAAGCTGGTTGGTGTATTGCTGCTTCTGTTGCCTAAAACCAAAAGCAAAGTTTCATTAGAGACCATTGGGTTACTCTGAATTTCACTGATTCTCAGAAACGCAGCAGTAACAAACACTTCTCTTAAAGTGCAGGAAGCCATCTTTACTCTGTTCTTCACTGTAAAGGTGTGACATCAGGGATTCCAGTTGGGGCAGATGCTGAAGAAGGTGTGTTCCTCAATGTGACAGCACCATTACTCACTTTTCAAAACAAGCTTTCATGGTTCTTTTGAGGCTATCGATAGTTGGAAACACCTGATCATTTCCAAATTAGACTAATTACAGGAAACACCATGAAAGCTTAACAAGAGAGATCTATATTCTGCCATGATACAATACCTGTGAACTTAGCTGAAAACTTCACTATTTACTAACAGCTTTAACAGTGGTTAAAAAGAAGGCTGTCTTCAACAACATTGCCTTTTTGGGTTTTTTTTGTTCCTGGAGCAACTCAAATTCTTTATCTGCTTTTGCATCCTCCTCCCCAGCGTACATAAAAAGGTTTTATCTGAAAAGCTACTAGCAAACAATCAATATAAATATTAAAATAACCAAGTAACTCTTCAGATAACTGCCAACATGAAAGGCCAAATATTCAGGCAAGTGAAAAATGGACAGATAAAAACATCAAGAAAGCTTACTATAAATGTTACTTCCATAAAAAGACAGGAATATGTCCTTCACAATAGTTTCTGTCCTGTTCAGTTGTGAATTTATGCCTAGATTCTATCTGGTTATTGCATAAACTGTGCATGTTGATATTCACCTATTCACTGTCTTCAGTAGGATACCCATGGTGGATTGTACCTGACTTATGTGCCCTGAACTTAGGCTATTGCAAAGCAATATGGCTGTTCTCACAAAATGAATGGGATGCCTTTGGTTCAATACACACCTCCTCCTACTATTCAATGGCCACAGTTCAGCATTAACCATGCTGAAAACTGCTGACTGTCTCACCCATAGGGTTAGCACAATAAGTCGCTTACGCGCATTTATGATCCTGAGATTAATGTGGTAAAGGAGTTTAATGGAAAAAATTGTACCAGTTCATTAGACCATGAAAGGAAGGGGAGAGCTGTCTCTGTTAGTGGCATACTAATGAAAGTCCACCTTCAGGTGACTGAACTACAGCACAGCATCTGCCTTGGAGCCTTATTTCACTTCTGCTATTTTAGTATTTATGGTACATGTTTATTTTATAGTATTATCCCTTACTGTAGCTTTCATCACTAAAAAGACATTCCCTTTTCTCCCCAGCTCTTAGATCTCACAAAAGGGCCACAATATATTAATTACCTTGCGAAACTTAGACAGATTCGAAGAGTTGACTGGAGTGAAGTGTATGGATGTTTAAACAGCGATGTTGTCCTGCCACTCTCCCTTGGCTGACATACAGAATAGGTTTTACACATGTATTGATACTGCAGGCAATCTACATGGGCAAAACAGCTGACTCTAGTTTACAGACTATTCAAGATTAATTTTAAAAGGCCCATCTCAACATTTAAGTTTCAAGTATTTCTCTATCCTTGCCTTTCTCGGCAAGATCAAGCACTCTGCTTAACAAAAAGCCCACCTCAACACCTACCAGGAGACTGTTTACAATGCAATGAAATTAAACCTTTTCATGTGAAGTACTCACAGCTGTTGCCTCAACTCAGGCGAGTCTTGTGGTGTTCCAAGCTGATGTAGTATTCTTTGTATTTCAGCAGCTGTTTATGAAGAGGAAGAGAAATCTTAATGGGGCATGGACAATTCCCCACTTAATTTTATGCATTTTTGCTTGACAAGTCTAAAGACAAAAAAGTTGACAGAAACTGATACTCGAGAGTTTTTCAACCTACTACAAAGACTCCACTCAAGAAATCCCAGAAAAACTAATGAATGGTTTTTGACCAATCAAAAGCCCAGAGCTTCTTAGAAAGGATAGGAATGTATTCAAGTGTCTAGGCAGAAACAGACAATTTAAAAATCGGTTAAAAATGTTATTATAATAAGTATAAATCCAGCCTTTTAATATTAATTGTTAAAATAAGCAGAACAATTCTGATGCTGGTTTAATCATGTTTTGCACATGTAATTTTGAAAAGCCACATTAAAGACCGCCATGAGATTATCATATGCAAATTTTTCAGAACCAGTGCACTGATGAAGAGACAACGACAAAGAATTTAGGGGCTTACAGGACACTAAAAAATATAAATAAATAATTGGGTGCCAAGGTTTAAACTGTAATTTTGAAACCCTTAGTTTTAAATGTGCAATACAAATCACCAATGATTTTTCAGTGTATTTCATAAAATATATTACTTTTTAACTGCAAGAAGTAGCACATCATCTGAGTCTTATTTCCAGCTTAATATATATAACTGACATACGAGAAAGCAAGGAAAAAAGCCAAGATGCTTCAAGAATATGCAGTTTATCACACTGCAAAACTAGCATCCTCTATGCGCTTTTATTTAACACCTTCACATGTTCTAAAACAAAATAATACATATGCAAAACAACTTTGCTTGACCTCAGCTAGGAGTAGACTTGTCTTCCCTGTATTTCTGTGGCCCTCTCCAGGTAGACTGGTATACCACAGTCAGTAGAAAATATGGTATTATGTGGGATCCTCAGTTGATATATCTTTTTCCTAAATACAGTTAAATTTCAGTAAAAGGCATCTCTAAGCAATGAAGAAAACCTTAAAACAATCAAACAAAAAACCCCAGACAAAATAACTAAGTAGTTTTCCATTCACTGTGGAAGAGATCTGTAACAGACAATTTCAATTATAAGGAAGTTATCTGTCACCTGTGTTAATTAGATAATATTGGCTTTTCTACACTGTTTTACACAACATCCCAATGTTGACAACTGTTACAGCAAATTCCTTCTGAACACACCCAGGTCATGAAGATATCAAAAAAAGGGAAAAGTTTGTACCGAAGCTTTTCATGAGATAAAAATCAAATACTACAAATTTCTTTGGGGGAATTGAGTGGACACAAGCTAATAAAAGAATTACTGAAGGGAACAGCACTGTCAGATGGGTTTCACACAGAGTGTATTTTAATTAAGTTGAAAAGCAGCAAATCATCAGTGAAAACTTTGGAATTTTGCCTACAGTTGCCCCTTTCCACAAGCACCAGCCCTTTCCTGAGTGGTGGAGGCCTCCTGCCTGCTGGGACCTGGGAACTGTCCAGCCCAGCACACTTCTTGGCACCTGGTGCTGGTTACAAGTACTGATAAACACAGACACTGGGCAATTCAGCCTTCTTTTTATGTTCAGTGTAATGCATTGTTTTTAAAAAACAAAAAAACAAAAAACAAAACAACTGGCTGGCATTACTTTTGGCAGAGATAGCTGGGTTTATTCAGCCTAGAGAAGTCTCAGGCTTCTTATCACCATGTTCCAGTATTTAAAGGGTGGCTAAAAAGAAGATAGAGACTCTCTTTTTTACAAGGAGTCACACAGAAAAAGATGAGGGGTGGTGGGCACAAGTTAGTCCCAAGAAGATTCCAACTGGACAAAAGAGGAAAGTTTTTCACCATGAGAACAATCCACCACTGGAATAATCTCCCCGGGGAAGTGCTGGATTCCCCAACACTAGACACTTTTAAGATTCAGCTGGACAGGGTGATGGGACATCTAGTCTAGGTCATGCTTTGCTTAGAAAGATTGGGCCAGATGATCCTTGAAGTCCCTTCCAACCTGGTGTTCTATGAATCTAATATCTGTAAAACTGAACATAAAATATCCTTTGTTTGTTCCAAAGCACTGTCCCCTCCAATTCAAGAGCCAAAGAGCTGTGATTCTGTATGTACTTTTACAGGAAGAATTCAAAAGAACCAACCAAACAACACCCCAAAACCAGCAACGACATCAACAACCAAAAAACAACCCCCCCCCAAAAAAAACCACAAAAAACCCAACGCAAAACAAACTGCAAGCAGTCTGTTAAACAGCCGCTTTTCAAAGTATCAGTGTGTCCTATCGCCACCTAGAGCTGTATTAATTAAGTGCAAATAAAGAAAATGCAGGGTTTTGTTTTAAACAAAGGCTCTCACTCGAATAAGTCTCTGAAACAAAGCTTATACTTACAATATTTGCATTACCAGTTAGGTACACATCCCTCATCTAAAACTGAACACAAGCAGATAATTGAGGGAAAATTAAAAGCCAGCAGCACATAGCTGTTCAGCAACACAATTCCAGGCAGACAGAAGTTCATCCCAGCTCAGGTCAGGATTCAAGAATGCAGGGCAAAATTCAAATACATTTTACGAAGAAGTCTATTAAGTCTGTGTCAACACCACAAAATATTAACAGGTAAAAAAAAAAACCTAAACAAGGCACCAATTTTTCTGGGCTTCCTGTAAAGTTAGCATTTTCCACCTTAACCTTTCACAATAAGGATATTATTCAGAAAAAAATAGCATTTCTCTCCTTATTTTGTTTTGTTCATACGAAGTACACTGCACTGACAAGTGAAATACTGCTTATTCAAGTAAGCAAATGAAAAAAAGGTGGAGCAGTGTAAGTAAATTTGGGCCAACAACCTTCAGCAGCACTCCTGAGGCTGTCTTCATAAAAAGACAAAAGCAAGCTGAAAGGACGAGTATGACACAGAAGAATTAAGAGAAGCTGAGCTTCCCAAAATCTTGATTTATGGTACACACCTGCAGATTGACGAGTTAAAGAAATCCATCCTTTGTACTCCTTCATATTAATATAAACATGATGGAGTGTATACAGGATAGAAAAAAGTATACCTTTATAGTTTTCCAGGTTTTTTTTGTTTGGCTTGTTTTTTTTTTTTTTTGTTTGTTTTAACAGATTTCTTACTATAGCTACTACTTTTTCAGACATTTTATGCAACACTATACATATGATGAGAAAACCACCTAAACCACAGATATTTGCTCAGACTCATGAACTCATGTATCTTTGCTGATAAAAACAAAACTAGAGATAGTCAATAAGACACTATCACCTGGATCACAGATGTAAGGTGTTTTGTTCCCTCATATGTATGCACAGCCATCTTGCAGAATTTGATTCAAAGTTTTGAAACTTCTTAGATAAAAGCGAATATCGATTCCTTTCCTCAAGGGAAAAGCAGAGTAGCTTTAGCCTCTTCTCCTGAAGGTTAAACTGCAGGAGCACCTCTGCTGGCTCCCTCTACAGACCCATCTGGGAAACAAGCAGGGAGAGAATCTTGGCAGTGAAGGAGAAGAGCAAAACTGCTGGAAACCTGGGATTTTTTTTCATTAAGCAAAGACTCCTTATTTACCAGCTTCACTGCTGATGGTGGCATTTATAAGGGTACTGCCTCCCTCGTTTAACCAGCTTTTTGCCCCTGCACAAGGAATTTGTATTGGCATGTCAAGGCACCTGGCACTGCTTTGGTGCCTCTCAATCCATCAGTAATGTTCAAGTTTCCCAGAGAGCCAAAGGCTTAGGCCCAACTCAAAATCCTAGTTCTACGCTATAAACATACTGGTAACAATAAGGGACCTAAGATCAGAGCAGTTTTGATGGTTTCCTAGGTTACCTCACTCTTTAGGTATTCAACTTTCCCAATTCTTCTAACTTCCCAAGTAGCTTTAAAAGACAGGAGTAATATGACTACCAAAGGTCCCTCCTGGGCATTACCAATCCTGTAACAGTGTCTGACTAGATCTTGTGCATGATTTCAATCCATTTCAGTGCAAAGTCTGACAGGTTCCTTGGGGTATGTACAGGTAGCTAGCTGCTGGACTTTGCTCAGGAGCTGCGGAAGGGCACATACCGTGTGCGTGCAGGCGTTCTGCATCAGTCACCAGGATATTGAAACAGCCTCCATCAGAGGCACGCATGTTCCTACAGCCACTTCTACACTGAAGATCATGGTTGATGTTTGCATATAATGAAGATCCACAGCTCTTTCAGAGCTCATGCTGAAAGCTGCAGTAGCTGTACCTTCCCAGCTTGGCCTGGCTATGAGCCACCACAGAAGAGAAGTCCCCACTAGGAACTGGGCAGTGCAGGGACCAGGGTACATGGTACCATGCAAGTAAAGTGCATTTTCTCCAAGCAACTGTTATCTCACATGCAAAAGAAAATATTCTTGCTTTTTCCACCTGAAATTTAGTCTTACATTATAAAGAACCAATACATTAGTAAAAAGATTTTTCACTTATCTTTGTGGCATTCCTGGTCTAGATGTCATAATACATAACTATTAGCTGATGAAAGCTATTCAGCTACACTCAGGTCTGTCACATGCTCAGGAACAGGTCAGACACGGTTAATGATGAGCCAGAGAAACAATTGAAGCCTAACCCGAATTCCTACAGAGAAAACTATTTAAGACTCAGCTCATATTTGCTTTTACTTAGCCAAACAGTTGTTCCATTTCTAATCAGTGCTCCCTCTAGTCAGAGAGAAAAAAAAGGGGGGGGGGGGATAGGGGGGCACAGGAAAAAACCTCATATATAAGGCTGCTTTTCTCAAAATGACTTATAGGAGTAGCAAAATTGACAGTGGAAATATTCACATTTTTTAACAGGTAGGAGTATTTGAAAAACATGTTCATCCAGATCTGCAATATATACTGCTTTTTCCTTAGATAAAAATGTATTTCATATACTGGATCACATACTGGCCTTGCTTAACAACTGGCTTTTAGCTGGGTAGGAAGAAGAAAGTTTCATCTCCTTTCTCCTCATCTTTTTGTGT